ACGTACTTTAATTCTTTAGTATCTGCAACTTGACTCAACGAGCAAAGGTAGGGGGTCTGCGATTCAACAAATTAGAAAATGAAATCTAACATTAGAGCCCTAGAAGCCGTAAATAGAAAAAAAAAAAAAAAAAAGAACTAGCAAATCGGAACCCAGTTTCGATCCAACAAATCAGATGGCTTCAAAAACCCCAGATGAAGAGAGAAAGATATGTGAAGAAGAATCAGGAAGAGGCGGCGCCCATTTTGATTCAACAAATCAGGTGGCTTAAGAAAACTTATCGGACTCCCTGACGCTTTTCCAGTTCGGTTACTGTTCGTGTCCATTGTCTCTTTGTTCGCCGACAATGGTTTGAATAAAGAAGAGAACATTGGATTTCTTTTTTCCCTTTCTTTTTTCTTTGTTATCTCACAAAGCAATGACAACAATGAGTTATTGGTATATACCACATTTTATGGTGGTCAAATATGATGAGGTTCTAGATTGATATATCTTGACATTTGTTTCATTAAGAGAGAGAGAGAGAGAGAGAGAGAGAGAGAGAGAGAGAGAGAGAGAGAGAGAGAGAGAGAGAGAGAGATGTGGGCGCACTTTTATATTTAAGAATAATAATAATTTCAAAAAGTGAAATAAAAATGAAAACTAAATTCATTAAAGATATAATATTATTTTTAGTTTGGACAGGAACTAAAACTGCAAGGAAACTAACTGAAAAGGATTACCAACCCAAAAAAAAAAAAAAAAAAAAAAAAAAAAAAAAAAAAAAAAAAAAAAAAGGTTTTGAACTAAACCTCGAAAAAAAAAAAAAAAGGTTTTGAACTAAACCTCGAAAAAAATACATATCATAGGGATCATTTTTGCAATTTTATCGTAATATTTTTAGCATTTGTACATCACTAGGTTTTACATGTCCATTTTATGAAAATATGTGCATTGTCAGAGTCATGATTTTGTATAATGTGCAGTTATAAACACACGTATGATTTTGTTTGACCATGTATGTGTTTTGTATAAATATTCAATTGTGAATCTAAATGTCACTTACAAACATTACCAATTTTTAGAGTTTTGTATAATATTATAATATCCAGTTATGAACATATATTATGATACGTTGCACAAAGAAAATGTACATTTATAAACATTTGTTCATTCATGAACATATGTTCATTAACCGATTTGTTCATATTATTTCTCGGTTTTTGTATAAATATTCAGTTATGAGTATGTATGATTATAACTATTTTATGAACATTTGATAAATGTATAAAAATGTTAGTCAATGACGTTATAAATCTGTTACATCAGTTCAATTTAAGGGTTTTTTATTTAAAAGTTCATAAATTAACATACAAATATTCATAAATGTTATAATTTAAGGAACATGATTAGTAAACTATATTTTATTTTTAAAATAAAATAGCCATCATAACTTTCTGGTATCTAATTGTCAAAAAGACAATTTTATATTTTTACGAATAAATTATATATATATATATATATATATATATATATATATATATATATATATATATATATATATATATATATATATGTGGTTTTAGAATCTGTATTCCACAACCAACACATAAAGTCTCTTAAACAACAGGTTATGAGTTTGATTATCGAGTTACTACTGCTAACAAAATGTACGTATTTGGACCATTTCACCAAAAGAATCCGCATTCTAGAGAGAAGGTTCATGAAGGATAGGATTTTCGATAGTTGATAGGACCACGTACACTCAACAGTTTTCTCGTGACCATACTTTTGATCACAAGAATATTTGTGATTTTCTTCCTTTCTCTTTTCAAAGGTCAAGTGTGTGTGTGTGGGTGGGGGTGGGGGTGATCCTCGAAGCATGGAACTTTTTCAAGCTTGTAACATTGCTGTAATCACATGCATAAGTGGGTTTTCTCTTTTAAGGCTATTCAGGTTATAACTTTTTGACTTAAGAAGAAACGAATGGAGTTTGTTTACGTAATTGAGCATTGTCAATGTTATAGGAGTTCATTTGGCTATTCTTACAAGAGATTTAATTACATTTTGAGTTTTTGACCTATGTATATCTAAAAGAGAGATGTAAAGCATATTATTTATCCATTGACAGCAAACTGACGCAATTACTATCGCCAATAAGAACTGTCGACGAAGCATTTCAGCCAATAGAAACATGTTATTTACATTGTGTTCCTGGGTTTAAAAAATGAAAGAAATGAAATGGAAAGAAAATCTACCTATCTTAATAAAAAACTTTTTTTTTTCTTTAGCACGTCTCTTCCACGTTCATTTTCAAGGTTTTACCAATATAACCTTCACGGCATTTAATGTGTTTAAGTCAATTCATTTATTAAAAGAACAAATTAGTGAAATGGTTTCTATGGTTTACACAAATTTTGCGTTTGGTCCATGTAGTTTATATTGTACGTTTGGCATTCCTAACATTTGCTTTTAATACACATTTGGTCCCTACGTTCGTCTCCCGTTAGCCCTCTCAGTTAATACACCCCACGTGTCTGTCATGTCAGGGGTATTTTTGTCTTTTTAAAATAAAAGCCTTATAAGAATATGAGATGAATCCAATCTTTCTTCCCTACGCCTTCGACCTCTAATCTTCTTCTCTGCAACTCGTTGATTTCGGAAATCAATTATGGCGATAAGGAGTGATTGTGATTATCCAACTGTTATATGAACTTCAACGACCAATAAAAACCCTGGAAAACGATTCTATTGTTCTACTAGACAAGTAATTTTAGGTTTAACCGATTCTACTTCTTGCTCTCAAAACTTAATCATAGTTATACCTAATTACTGAAATTGCAAGGACCACGATGTAGGTTTCTAGTTATGTTGGATTTATGAAGATAGGTCCGGTCATGCTGAATTAATGGTAGAGCTTCAAAATGAAAACAAAAGGTTGAGGTATTTGTTACTGTGTAGTTGGGGTTTTTTTGTGGCAATTCTAATTTACAAATTGTAATGTAATTATAATATATTCGATTGTAGTTTACTGGAATGGAATGTAATTGTAATGGAATGAAATGAATTGTAATTGACTTTTAATGGAATGTAATTGATTGGAATGGAATGTATTTTGGTTTTTTTTGTAATTGGAGTGCACTTTGGAAGGTAATTTGGGTTGATTGGAATGTAATTGTGTATTGAATGTAATTGGAGTGGAATTGTGTAATGCAATTGGAAGGTTCGGAGAATGCCTTATATAGATATCCAATATATCAAAAAGATGAACGATGAAGGAACTTTTTAAATCACTGAATCAAGCCCATTATCAAATTCTACTCGGTGCAATATGGAGGTACTGATGGTAGAACGACCCATGAATTTGGCATGATTTTAGAAGGAATTAAATAGAAAAAATAAAAACAAAAACATCAACACATTACAAAAGATCATCATAATGATAACAAAAGTTACAGATATTATTAAAAGATCCTCATAATGTTAACATAAGATCATCATAATGCTAACAAAAGATCATCATAATGTTAACAAAAACATCAACATATTACATAGTCTAAAAAGCCATTAAATTAGGCCACAAAATAAAACAAGTAGGATGCTTTCAATCTTAGTCACACTTGGTCTACTCTTAGCGGCACCACTTGCACTGCTCTTCCCATCCCTACTTGGTCTCTTATTACTAGTAACAATTACAATAGTTGCTTTCCTTTGATCTGCACTACTCTTCCTAGCCTCACTTGGTCTCTTTTTACCAGCAACCTTTCTCTTCTTTGACTTGCACCACTTACATTGGTTTAACCTACAACACTTGCATTACTTTGACCTTTGCAACTCCTTTTGTTATGCTAAGTTTTTTTCATTTTAAGCATGTGACATATTTCTCTTTCCTTGTAAACCTGCCACCTTGCACCATCTCTTTAAGTTTAACATCATACTTCCTTCTCTTCTTCTTAGGTCTACCAATAGGAACATGATGCTTAGGAAGAAGAAATATTGTAGGACAAGCATAATTTTCCCATATTCTTTGTATATTAATAGGCTCACTCTTGATGGAATACATCCCCTTTCATGTGCTCAACCAGTAACTAGGATGCACCTAAGTTTCAAGTAAACCAACAACTTTCTTGTTTTTCCTCATGTCCCAAATTACCACCAATACATGTTTACAAGGAATGCCACTGAGTTCCACCACACATTGGTCCATCCTTGCACCTGTTACTTGATACTTGTCATTCCTATAGGAGAGTCAAGGTCCAACTGCTTTTATCAAATTATTTCCGAACGGTCACAAGCCTTACCATGAGGTACTCTCTAATGAATTCAAGACAAATAATGATTGGTTAACACTACTAGAAAAATAGCCTTTTACGATGCTCATTACGTGTCATAAAAGGCTCAGATGACGTGCAAATGCGCGTCAAGGAAGGCCCTGCCATAAAGAGAGACGACGCGCTTTTGCGCGTCATCTATAGAGGGCGCGCATTTACGACGCTCATTTACGACACGCGTTTACGACGCACAATGCGTATCAAGGAAGGCCCTGTCATAAAGGAAGACGACATGCATTCGCGTGTCGTAACCTTACGACGCGCGTGTTAATGACACGCAATGCGTATCATTAAAACCCCTGTCAAGAAAGGCCATGTTAGAAATGAAGATGACACACATTTTTACGTATCGTAAATTTAAATGTTTTAAAAAAAATATATTTATTTATTTATTAATTTAAAAATTAAATTTGCTTTTACTGTCTCATAATAGAAATAAAATACCATATAAAAAATACAATCCATTGCATAAAATTTAATGTCATACAATTCTATTTCTTACAATAAATAAATTTGCATTCATCTAATCTACTATGTGTTTCATACTAACAATTGAAATGAAGAATGCAACACTTGCGCGCATTTGCAGCATCTTATCTCTTTCAGCTTGAGCTTTCTTTTCCTCCTCTAACTACAGAGCTATTCGTTTTCATCAACCCTGTAAACACAACACAAAATCACTTGTCATTTTCATTCTACTTTAGAAATGTCAGCAGTGAAGTTAATGGATTCTGAAGAAGAAAACTTTGTTCCAATAAATTTAGCAACTTCACTGAACTTTTCTGCACTTGGGAACTTCAGAACAGATGGTCTAAACCCACTTATATCAAAATTTAAAGTCATCATAATGTAAGGAGCTGCAACATGAATTAACTTCATTTTAGTTTATGTCACAAAAATGAGGAAGGAGGATAGGTTGTTCACCCAAATTCATGGCAAGACAGCTGGTGAAAAGGAAATCCGATAAAGTAGTCACGATGAATAGATGCTTGATCTTCCGCAGGTCCATGCCAACTAACTTCATTGGTCACTTTCAAATGGCCTAGATCAATTTCCAAGAAACTGCATCTATGAAAGAAACACCAAGAAACCATTTTCAAAAGATGTTTATGCAAAGAACCTTCAATAAGTAATTATAGCATCCCCATACAAACAACTAAATAAATGAGAATGACACCTTTAAAACAAGTGCCATTGTTGCTATTGAAACACTCTTCTGGACAATATTTATAGTAGAAATTATATACATATCCTTATCTATTTATAGTAGAAACTATATACCACACCAACCACTCCAATTCTCTCCTTAGTCACTCACTATCAAATTAACATGATAACTTTTGATTTACCAAAAACACAATCACTAAACCCCAACCAAAGAAGTTAATAATAGAAGAACATACAAAAAAGGGCTATTCCATTCCTTCATACTAAATAATACCTTAAACTCTTTCTGTATTAGCTTTGTTTAATATTCATATAGTGAAGGTCGACTCATTTGAGGAATCCAGCAAATGTGGAAGATTCATGATGGTAGTTTTAAGTTGACACTTGTTAAGAATATTAATTATTGCATACAAAACAAATAAATAATGACGAAGGACCATTGAAGCTTGCATGTTCCCCATGCTACATGATGATGGATCCCTACATATTCAAGCACATGAGATGAGATGCAATCAACATATTTAAGTTATAAATAAATAAATAAAATAAAAAACTTATCCACCAACACAGATTACAGGAAACAGTCTTAACAGCAACTGTAAAGGCAACGACATGGAAGAACTCAAAGCCGAAGGCAAATCCCGTAACCCCGGACTCTCGCCAATGATTCCGTCTTGCCAATCCCGGACTCCCGCCTCTAATTCCCTTCCTTGTATTCGCTTTACTGACCAGACCCACAACTCTAGAAACAATGATCCCAATTGTAACCCCACTTATTTGTTGCTCAATCTCATGCACCTGCTTAATCAAATCACTGGCAAACGTAACCCTTGTGATTTTCCTCACTCTCACTATCACTAAAAGATGTTTTTGCCCCTTGAAAATGAACACCTGCAAAAACAAAATATGTCAATTTTGTAGATTTTTCTACAATATTGTAATAGGAAATTTGATGGAACCCACAAATGGAGAATGAATGTAAACTGTTGAACCAATTTCTCAATAGATTCATCTGTTCCAAGAATCACACTTGTAATCCGAGCTAGACCCTCCATTTCCGTAGGACCTACAGCCAGACTCTGCACACATTAACACAATACATTTTTTATTTTTAAATATTGTTATTTAAAAAAAAAAGTAAACATTTCACCTAAAAAATTATACTATAAGGATAAAAAACCAAACCTGGATGTTGTAACCCTTTCTGGATATAACTCCGGTGACCAGGTTGAGAACTCCAGGAGCATTATTGACAAGAATGTTCAAAGTGTGAGACTTATGACCAATTAACTGTTTTATTAATATTAAATCTGAGTTATATATATCCCATAAACTATTTTCTAAATAATGATTGATAAGACATTAATGAAAAATGAGAAATTGACGCATATCTTACATCTTCTTCATAAAGCACACCCCAATGGGGGTCAAGGACTTGATTCATTGAGAACCTATTGTAGTACTCCACAGGATAAACATCTTCCTACATTCAAACAAATATATCACAACTCAAATTAATAAAAAAGAAGAAATTATCACAAATAGAAACCTGCAAAGAATTAAGGAATATACCCCTGAAATCGCACTCAAGTTCTCATCAACCGTGTGACTTATATTTGAGGCAGTAGGAATTGGAGCTGGGGCTTCCAGATCTAGATACAAAGCAGCACGGAAGTTCCAAAATGGAGCAGTTTCACCCAACTTTTTATCTTCTTAAAGCAATCTACAATTTGCAGCATACCAGTGGACTAGTGAAGCTTTTTAGGGCTAATTTTTTATGATAAACAAGAGATTGAGAGCGGGTTTTTTGTCCCATTTGACTTGAAAATAAAAAAGTACCTGGATTCTTGAGGGACTTTTGACTTCAAGGTTTGTAGATGCAGTGGAGGTGAAAGGAGAAAAAGGGGTGGAGAATGCGATGGAATTATCAATGGTAAGGGTGGTGGTAGAGATTTGTTGACAAATCTTGTCAACCTTCAAAAATGGAGTTGTGCCCAATGCCGGAAGTGGTAATAGCTCAAAAAATGCAGTGAACCTGTTAATTGTTATGTTACCACATAAACAAAAAATGTTTCAGAACACAACAAGGGCAAAATGGGAAAATTAAGAAATTATGAGGAAAATGGTTGGAGAAAGATGTAAACATCCTTACTAAAATAAATGATTAATAATTAAGTGAAGCAAGCAAAGTAAGAAGAAACAGGTAAATAGGGAAGGAACTTGAAATTACTCTTAGAATGCTTACAAGGAGAGAATTCTAAAGGATTTAAGTAGCATAAAGAAAGGGTGGGGCTATAGAACAATTACAATTTCCTTATAGTGAACTTAGGTTATTTATAATTATAATGGCAAGACTTGATGGATGTGGGGTAGATTTAACTTAATTTTCAACAAAGGGTAAATAGGTCATTTAACTTAACCTTTAAAGACTCAAGATTCTTGTAACTCATGATAGGATCGGGAGAAAGACACAGCTAACCCATAGGTTCAACCTTGACTCTCTAGTTGAACAATTTTACTTCTCCAAGTGGCTTTTGTTGAAACATTGGGACAAGAGCATCTTTTGATGAAGATTGTTGGCTAACACTTGGTTAGCCCATTGGTTTTGTGTTTGAGAGTAGTAAGTTAACCCGGGGTGGACCGGGTGGGTTCGGGTTGAGCCATAGCGTAACCCGTGTGGGATACTGGTTAGGTGAAGACTAGAGGTGTTTGATAAAGGGGAGAGATTAAGGTCTGAAAAGGGCATTTGGGAATGGGAACGATGATATGGCGAGGGGAGACTGTTGTGGGCCCCAAGTGAAAATGAAGGGAGAGATGAGGTTGGTGTGAGTATGGGTTCTATGAAGAATTAGTGTTTTTCTGTAGGGTATGATGAAGCTCTGTATAAGGGTTTAGGGTCTGAAGGAAGATGAGATTGTGAAGAACATCTTCTGCATCCATGGCTGCTTTCTATATCTGAGATGTGTTGGTCTAGCCACTCTAGTAGGTCTACTGAAGCAGATGAACCTGAAATATATGTATATTTTTTTTATAGAAGAACATGAACACAGTTACAAAAGCAATGAAGATCAAAAGTATTTCTTGAATAGATTTGATATAGATACTTACTTTCTCTTGAAATAGATCCTGACCCTCGATCACCAATAACTCCAGGATGTCTAGGTCTGCTTACTGATTTGTTTAACTGTTTACAAAACAAGAAATTTAGTTAATTTTGCTCAAAAAATTCACAGCTTTATTGTGAAAAACTGAAATCAAAACTATACTTTTGAAAATATAGTTGACAGATCATCTAAATCCAATAAAGATCTTGCACCTGACTCCTGTGGAAAAAGAAGATGTAAGATTTAGAAAGATGAGATATTTTATCACTGCAAGTTTAGGGATTTGAATTTGCATGAAGTTAATTGAAACTATTGTAACGACTTTAGATGTCTAAAATGTGAAGTGATGAATGCAAAATATCTCAAGTGTTTAGATTATGAACAATAAATGAAGATAAATATGGAGTGAAGTGAAAACAGAAGATGCAGAATGTACATTATACCTCTTCTCTGTCAAATAAATGGCATTCATCATCAAGAACTCCAGTTGAAGGATTATCTTCATCTTCTTCTAAGCACCCAAACTCAATTTTCTCAGTAGTAGGTCGACCAAAAAAAGCATACTGTGAAGCATCAAAGAGTTTATCATCTGCACAATAATGAAAGAATCAGGCATAAAAAACAAAATCTTGAAACAACAGAAATAATAAGAAAGAACAATGACGCTTGCAGATAATAAAACCAATGATAATTTGTTCTATTGCTCGATGAACTTCTTTGGTTTTCTTCCTCAGGTAAAAATGGTAACATGTTCGACATCCAGATACGGAAATATGAACTTGTGTGGGGTGTAGGTACTAGTAAATCATTCAAATAAAAGATTCCTTCATCGGAGATATCACCTCAATCACACAAGAGAGAGAGAGAGAGAGAGAGAGAGAAAGATAGAGAGAACCTCGATCTAAGGGAAGAGGCCATGGTAGCCACGAGATTTGAGAAAACTGTATGCGAAATCCTTAGAACCATGAGTATCGGGAGCAGAAGAAGTGCCTCCAACGCAAAATTAGCTATGGCCACCGGAGGAGGAAATCATGATTTAAACTTGTATGGTTTTTTTGGTTAGGGTTTTACAGAAGAGAAGAGAAGATGATTCAAAATCGAAATTAGAGGCATGGATAAAGGAGAAATAAGAACATGGATCTTGTCTTCGACATTATTGACGATGTCGACGTTGCTTTCAACATTGAGTGGGAGATATGGTGGTTCCAGTGGGTAGAAGTAAGTGAGCCTTGATCGATGTCCTCCCTTTCTCTCGAACGCTTTTTGTATCCCACATATATTCCTTTATAACGGAGGTGAATGGAACGCACAAAGAAACCCCTGTGAGAGAGAAAGTAATAGTTGATTTGGAGCAACCGACAAATGAAATTGAAAGGTAGAGGCGCTACACTCCTTTTTTTTTCATGTCACCACACATCAACATAGAGAAATCGAGAACCCCTGCGGGTTTGATATGTTCAGAAGACGGGATCAGAGATTTGGTGATATTGTGATTTTGTTGCGGGAGAAAAGACGATTTGTGATGATATTAGGGTTTTTTTGGGTATTAGAGTGAGAGAGATAGAGAAAGAGAGAGAGTGAGAGAGAGAGAGAGAAGAAAGATGGAAATAAGATAGAGGATAACAATGGCGGCCTTTCAAACTTTTGGGATTTTTGTTTCCCCCCAGCTGCAAAAAAAGAGAACGCGTCTTTCATTCAAAAAATATAAAGCGACATTTCTAGACGACGCCCATTTTTAAATAAGTGCCCTCCGTGTTTTTAATTTTTTTTCTTGGACATTAATTTTAGGGCACGCACAAAAGCGTGACCTCTATCCATCAAAAGTTTGAAGAGATGACATTATTTTTAGAGCGCACGCTTTTGCGTATCGTAAATCACTGCGTGTCATTGTTTGCGCGTCATTAAAGGCTGTTTTTCTAGTAGTGTAATCATGACCTTCCTTAAAATTGTTGTTAATAGTCTCACAAAGGTTATTCAAAAGACCATCACAATGATCCTTACTTGTATAAGAATTACAAATTCAGAATATAGATGTAAACTAAGTTGATGAAAATAAAAATCTAACAGGTAATATGAGACCTAGTCCAATGTTGAGGTAGGATAGTTTTGAGCCACTGGAAGCAATTATTGTTCAGTTTGCTTAAATCTTTCATTTCATGGTTAATTTTACTATTGTGGTTGCACTAGCACATTTCCATAGTGCATCCTTAAAGTAATTACTCTTCCACTTAGCTTTCATATTCTATTGTATATGACACTGAAAAGACATGTCTTCTGCACATTGAAGTGTAGTAGCAATTGCTTGCAACAACCCTTATATGAACCAATGGATAATAATACTGTAATGTTGACTGAATTAAGAAAGCTAAAAATATATGTACAAAGTCTACCTTTTGTCTGTCTAATATAAAGATAAAATTGCAATTCATATGAAGGTTGAGGTCATCAACTAAGTAACTTAAAAACCTAGTCCATGAATTTATATTCTCAAATTCTAGCACAACGTATGCCAAGGGCTATGTACAACTATTTCCATCAAGACCCTAAACAGGTTTACCTACTACAAAAATTAGAAATAAATACATGTTAGAAAAAAATGAAATAAACAAGTTTAAGTAATAGCCAAACATACCACTGTAGTGAGGATCATTCCTGGATAAGGCCCCTTCATAAAATATCCATCCAGTCCAAGATAATCTCTTTTACCACCTGTAACACCTTTCTTTAATCATCCAAGGCAAACATAGATCCTTTTGAAAGTTCTAGTTTTAGAAGTTGAATTTGGTTTAGTTTCTACTTCAATCTTCACTCTTGTCTCAGGGTTACGAGTTTGAAGTTCAAGAACATACTCTCTAAGTAGTGCATGTTGTCCTTTATAATCTCCCCTGACCTATTCATGGCACCAATTTTAACCCTAAACCCTTTCATATTTGAAACGTCTACTCAGTATTGATGTTGGAGTTGTACATGTAAAGCTCTTATAGGTATAGTGGGGTTACTTTCGACTTGTTGCACTATTTTCTTTCCCAAGAACTTGTATGTACAAGCCTTTACACTCCAAGTTTGTAGGCATCTATGGTCTTTCACATAGGTTATGACCTCCCAAGCTACATCTTGTTTCAAGTTGCTTGCCTAAAGGTTCCAAGACATTTCTGTTCAACATGGTTAAACACACCAAGATTTGGAATGGTGCCTTTGGAAATAGCCCTTATCTTGTTTTTGTCATTTTTATAAAATCTATTTCCCTTCTTGTCTCAATTGCATGCTTTTTTATCATATCTTTTAGTTCTTCACCTGTGACAAATTGTTGATACATATACAACGTGTTGGGTTCTGAGCACTATAACACACCTATGGTGCACATGCAACGTTAAATGCTTTGGATCTATGTTTTCTCTAATTATACATGCTTATTTATAATTTTACAAAGCATATATCCTAACTAGCATACAAATTGTAATATGAACAATAAAACTAGTTAGATAACTTACCTCTTAGAAGGACTTGTAGTTCTTGACCTTTGAAAGCTTGAGCACCCCAAGTGTGATGCCTCTAATGGTTCACAAACACCAATATGCAATAGGAGGCTTGAGAGAATAAGTTATTTAGCACAAAATCAATACACACTCTCCAATAATGTTGTGGTTACTCATGTGTATGCTTTTGGCTATAGGAGGGGTTTATTTATAGTGTGGCAGGTGCTAGGGTTACACTTTGTAAACCCTAATGACCTTTTATATTACTTAGGCTCCATGGGTTAAACCTCCATGGACTATCCATAGACTACCACATTGGTTTTTCCCAACCTAAATAATTATGGATCGTTGGCCCACACTATAACAATCATTGATTTACATAATCAACCCCCATATATTTAATTAGTCTCTTTTGATCACACAATTAATTCCAAATTTATTCTTGATGAATACTAATTAAATAATCTGATTTCATATTAATATATTATATGTGTAATATATTAATAAATAATAAATAACCTTATTCTCAAAAGTCCATCCTATCAAATTGCACTGGTGAAGGCAACCCAAAAGGACCATGCTACAATCGGGTCAAATATGTCCCAGTTATAGTTATGGGCTTAGATACCAAATCCAACAGTATCTCACTTAGATAAGTCTAATAACTATATATGCCAATGTGACTTCAGGATCCGACTTAGCAATCATAAGCTTTCAAAATTCGTTGTCGAACTCTGACCTAATCACTGATGCTTCCTTCAGATAAGGGATCATATATTCCTCTATTCTCAAGATATCTATGTGGACAAATACATGGAACATAGTCATAATTATTTTCCTGCAATTTGTTTTTCGATTTCTGGTTCGTCTGACATAGAACATAACTGAACACATCAATTTAGTTTTGATCGATCCCAACACATAGTCAAAACAGAATCATCGAGGGGCCCAAGATATCGCTTTTAATTCTCTTAGGATAAAAGGAACATATAAACTTCGACATTATATGTGTGTACTAACTACTCATCAAATCGTGTACAACAACATTTTCTATAACATTAAGTTACTGATGTGTTTTCGTGCCATCAATGCACAACCAACTTGTAGTGAACAACTCATATATCTTGGTTTGAAGATTATATAATATTATCATCTCAGAATCACTCGTGATAAATTTCCTGAACTAATTCAGGTGAGCGAGGGTTGAATCCAATACTCAAATCATATTTTAGGAGCACTCATGAATGGTGTAGCAAACTTTGCCATGTTGAGCTCCTTAGATAATCTACAAGCCAACTCATGACAATCTTCTTTCATACTTACTTCCAACATATGATTGACTGTGGATAGTTTGAATAATCTTATTATTCTGGAAGTCAAAACATGCAAAGTGAAACACAAGAATAATACAAATCCTATATGGCTCTAAAACTTTTGAGTGTAAATAAAACATCTTTTATTTAATCACCATATTGATTACGCATTATTCGTTGTATAATGTTTCGAATAATCAACTTAATACTTGAATTAAAACAATAGTTATCTTATGCTTCAAGCATCCACACTATGTTTTTCTATGGTCCTTACTATGTGAAATAGATCAATTGTAAACATTTCCAGTGACACTCATTTCACAATCCCAAATCTTTATTGCAAGTTTAAGAATTACGAATACTTGTCACCGCTAGAATGTGTTAGATTTTAAACTATCATGCAATGATTCTTTTGTAATGTCTAGGTACCAAAAGTCACAGAGACTTGACCAACGATATTATAAAACTTTCCATTGTAAATTGTTACAAGACAATTCCAAGGAAGCGAAATCTCACACTCAAAGTACATTCATTTGAATATCCTTCTTGCATAAATGTTTCTAACTTTCTCATATATTATTAATCTTGAACTCCCATTATGGAAAACACTTTCATATTTTCCATATGGAAAATCATTATTAATAGAAGCTTATCTAATCATAATAATGTCAACATGGTCCATCCATTACAATACTTCTAACTGTCCTTAAGCGACCAATCCTTGGCTCACCTTAGATTCTCCTTAACAGTTATTTAACCACTTTAGTTACATCCGATTCTATTCCTTTTTCCCTCTTAATGCCATAGGCATTTCAAAAATTAGAACACGAGAATATTATAGCATATGAAATTGATGCCATACCTGAGGCATATGGGATACGATTCATAATGTCTTACATAAAGACATGTTACTTGACCAGTCTTTTGCTATTATATTTCTGTTTTCCATGTTCTCACAATTCGAACTATGAAGAGGGATGTCGTAATCATAATCGAATTTGGAGAACACAATTAAGATTTCCATATATATAGAATTTCCTTATGTCGAATCTTTTTCAACATAACAATCATATATGTCCTTGATTAAATTTGATTAAAATCTCAAAATCTAAGCTTTTAGATTTGAAATGAATTATAAGTTCCCCTCCCTTTTGTTGGTGTAAAAAGTTCTCCATGTGTGACTTTGTAAATGGTTTGACTTTTGTAGACCCACTTGCATGTTGTGCATTAACCTTATGACTAATGAGAGTTAGAGAGTGAGAGAGATGTAAACACCTCTATATAAGGTGGATTCATACCACTTGTAGAGGTGTGCTTGAGAGATGTAGTTCATAGTGATTAGTGAGTGAGATATTTGTGAAGTTCTAGACTAGATCACGTTTTGTACTCATTTACTATGATCAAATATATCTTTTAGCACCAAAATCACCATGTTCATTGTGCAAACTTTAATTCTGCATGCCAAACCATGTTCTTATGTCACTACAATTTGTAATAGAGCGGGTATTCAAGATCAAGGTGATTTTTGAAGAAGGATTCTCGGTTTAGCAACATTTGTCACAATTGAAGCAATTTTTGGTGAGTCTCTTTCTATGACCTCTCTTAATTCGGGAGTTGCGTTTTTGATTTTCGATTGTTTTGACTCATTGGATCAAATTTTCTTTGAAAAACCCATTTGTTGTGATCCAATAATTTTTTTATGATCAAGGTTCGATCCAATCTAATATCCATTCGTTCGATTTGATTTTCAAATTGCAATCAATCTTTTAAATCAAAATTTGACCCAAAATCAAATCTAAATCTTGATGTTACAGTTTACGATGATCTTTTAAGCCTAAATATATTCGATTAAGATCCAATATCATTAATCTCTTACTGTTTATATCTACAAAGCCGATAAGTGTTTTCGATCCACTAGATTGAAATTTTGAGACCAATTTTTCTGATGATGGGTGATACAAACGATTGGATCCGTATTTTTTTAGATATTAAGTTGATTAAACATCATTCTCCAAAACTGTTTGACTCATCCTCTTCACTGCTTGCGTTAATTTTCTTTTCCTTGAATCACGATTTCCTTATCTTGTGACTCCAAATCATTATTAAAAAAATCGATTGGTTTTAATTGTTGTGTTCATCTTGTTAATCAATTCTATTTGGGTTGTACAAACATAAAATCAAAAATTGATTTTGTTGAATGTCAAAAATCGATAATCGATAATTTGGTTTTGGAGGCGATAGTCAATGCTATTTGTTGAAAGCAAAGATTTGGAATGCTTTGAGATCAAATATTGAAGGCTTGATAGAAGGGTATTTGATTGTTGTTTGATAACATAAGGGATGATGGAAATTGATTTCGAATGTTTTGGATTAACATCTGATTACACGATTTTGGGTTATGCAATTTTGATGACCACAAGTTCGTTAGCAAACTGTTTTGATAATTGATGTTTTGGTTTTGGCCTGAGAATCGATTTTAATTTCGAAGTGTTGGAATCAAATTTTGGAATCAGTTGAATGTTGATAGGCTAACAATTAGATTTTGGAGTAGACAGTGTATGTTGATGTTAGAGTTCGACATTAAATACGTCACTGGCAATCGAGTTTTGATTTAGAATCGATGGTTTTTTGTGAATATCCGTGTTCATGAATGAAGATTTGGGATTGCAGTTGAAGGTCAAAGTTATGTTCGAAGATTATCTGGGTATCAAAAATAACTAAGGGTGTGTTTGAATCAGTCGAAGTGGTTACTATTCATATGTGAGGCTTCGTTAGTCTTTGAATTTGATAAATATAATATACAGTTTTATTCAATCGTGTTTGAGAATTCATACGAAGGGGGTAGTTGATGATTTTTACGAAGGGTGGAGACCAATTCATACGAAGGGTGTCGCAAAGTTTCGAATATAGTCCCTAAAATTTCAACAAGTTGACACATTTTAAAAACCCTTCGTATGATTGCTAAAAGCTTCGTATGATTTGAACAAATGACAAATTTTCATAAACAGCCCCAGAACCTTCGAATATTTGGCACTTCAAAAATTAAGTGAAATTTTGAATGTTTGACACTTTTCACCCAACTTCGAAAATTGTTTGAGGCTTCGTATGTTTGGGGTTACTCTTCGTATGATTTGAAGAC